GTGCCAGTAAGAAAACCCATTGCAAAGAGCAGAGAGGACTTTATTTGGGGGGCAGGGAATGGTGGTATGATTTTAAATCATGATTTTCATATGCATGCTTAAGGAGTACAGGGAATTTTATCCTTCATCTTCTATGGCTGGCCATAGATAGGATAAAAGGCTTCCAGTTCTCAGGAGCAAGTATTTCCCTACAACTGGATAATGTATGCTAAGATAACTGGGGGTCTATAGTGCTTTGGGACTTAGTGCATGGATGTACCAGAAGCTAAAACAAAAATAGTCACTGGGATAATTGGAAAGCACAGGAGTTGGGCTTTATGAGAAAAACTGATTGCATTGAGTTCACTTAGGTCACAAAGTACCTCTCTTTAGTAGCAAATGCTGCTTTACTTTCTGACTTCACAGATATAATGCCTGGTGGCTATTGGCCATTTGCAAACAGGCCTCTCCTCAGAGAAAAGGACTGGACCCTCAAGGAAGGAGAAATCTAACCTCAGAACTTGCACAATTTCTAACTATACCTTCATCACCCCAAAAGTAGACACTGCACACATTCTTCTGTCTCTCTTGGTCTTTGGTTCTTCCTTTCACAGCCAGCCCTTCCCAGCTCAGTGCTCCTTTATCCGCAGGCTATTTGTTGCTGTAGTTGCTGCCAACTTGGCTGGTGAGAAGCCAGGCCTGGAGGAAATAGAGGGTCCTGGCAAGAACATGGACTGAGGGCCCCCACCAGGTTAGCTTCCGAGTCCCGCAATGCACTGTGATTCTGTCTCAGTTGGCTTGGGTTGCTATAACAAGACAACCATGGACTGAATGGTTTAAACAACAAACATATTTCTCATCGTTCTGGAGGTTGGGAAGTCTGCCATCAGGGTGCCAGTATGGAGGGAACCCTTCCTTGTTTCCTCATTTGAGGGATTGGGGTTGTGAGAGGAAGCGAGCTCTCTTCTCTTTTTATAAGGGGAAGGGAGAGGGGCCTGCACTAATTCAACCAACCTCATGACCTAATTACTTTCCAAATCCCCATATCCAAATAGTATCACATAAAAGAACAGAGTTTTAACATGAATTTTGGGTACCCAAACATTCAGTCCACAGCAGTCTGTATTAAAAAGTGTATGCAATTAGAGGCCATCGTGGGGCTCCCAGGACCTGATTAACAAAAGATGGTACTATCTGGGTATAGCCTGAGAATATGAAAGGGTGATAGGAATAGAGAGTTGGGTAGGGATGAGGTGCAGAGGCCTTTAGGGGCACATTTGAAACAATTCTCCCAGGAAAGCATTCTAAAAATCCTTGGGCTTTCTTTGGATCAAAAAAAGAAAACTTGGCCTTGCCTTCAAACTGTACAGGCATCTTAAAGCTCAGAACAGGCAAATTTCTCATAGCACTTGCACCTCCAGGAGCAGAGATTTTGGGGTGACTGAAGCTCTTGGAACAGAAGTCTGTGTAAGATTGGTCTGGCACAGTGGCAACCTGGTTCCTGAGTCAGACAGCTTCCCAGTACAGTGGCTTGCCTTGCCAGGGTTGTTCATCCTACTCCATCATCTGTCTCTGGTCCTTCCTTCCACCCCAGGATGGGACATTGTAGGATGAACAGTCTTGCCTTCAGGACTCTTGCCTCAGTGAGGCCTGGCCTCAGTTTAAACCCAGGGGAATGTTGTAAATATTGAATTGGCTCTAGAGTGAAGGAAATATTGGGCTTATACACTGACTTGACTTATACACCCTGACTTCTCTTTTCTTAGGCTTCTGGGTTCCAACCGGAGGTTGCCGGTAACTTCATCTTCTTTTGCATTGATTTCTGTCTCTCATAACCAGATCACACTTCTAGTTACAAAAGGGGTAGAGGAAATTCACCACCAATTTTCTACACAGAAATAGGGGAGGCCTGGAAAGAAAGTTCAGATGCTGGGGTCCAGGAAAAGTGAGCCTGAGGAGGTTGGTGTAGGAAATGTGAGGCCCAGCGGGTGAGAAGCTGCTGAAAAGGAACTCAGCAAGAGGGGGTGGGGACCTAAGCCGAGGCCCGCACACTCACGGCCTGGCGCCTAGGTGGCTGGTGGAATCTGTTACTCTGTTGGGTAGTTGTTCTGTCCTCTGTCAGGTGGCCATGAGTGGAAACTAATCTTCGGGGCCGTTTGTCTTACCTTTGCAGGAAGCACAGCGCATGCACCTTCTCCCAAACTTGCTTTCTTAGCTGGGAGAACCGAGCTGTGGGCTCGAATCCGCTCATGCCCTGGAGATCTGGACCAAGCTCCGACCGAGGCTTAATGGGGAAAGCTGAGATGTACCCAGCAGGGGACTTTGGGTGACAAACTTTTCGGAAAGTCGCCAGATGAAAGTGTGGTGCAGGCTTGCGCTCTTTTGGGTGGAGTTCACGGGACTAGGGCTCCAGGTAGCCAAAACAGTGAATTGAGATTCCTCCCTGCCCCACACTCCCCACTGCAGGTTTGCTGTGGACACAGGCTCTGGAAGACCGGCTCGGCGTGGTAGCAGAATGTAGACCAGGGCGGGCGCGACCCTGGCGCATAGCGCCACCCTTTCCTCTCTCAGCGGAGCTACGGAGGAAGGGGGCTTGGCAACTCAGCTCACGGAACAAGCGCAGTGCTGTCTTTCGTGTTGCACTGTTCAGCTTTGGCAGCTTTTTAAAATGGCCCCATACGTAACCCTCTTGTAAAAAAAAAAATTAAAAGTTTAATAGCATCCACCCTACACGCTTATGAGCACCAATGGAGATTTTAAGCCCCGCGCATGTGGGCACATTCCTCTGCCCGCCCAACCCCCAATCCTCCCACTCCAGTATGGAAGACAGTTGGGCATTGAGGACTGGTTTGCCAAATTCAATCACTGTCCACATCAGCTGGCCACTTGTCTCCTGTTGGTGAGCCCTTGGCTCTTTCTAAGTTCTTGGAATCCAGAAGAGTGTATCTCGCCATCCTCCAGGTTGAGGCAGACTAAAGTCTGAGCAGGTGTCTTTGCCTTCCTGGGTCATCCCTAGGCAAGGATTTGATCCCCAGTTTGGCTCCTGCAGGAGTCAAGAGGGAAACAAGGATGGTTACTTCAGTGCAGGCTGGGCTGCAGAAACCGAGAGAAGGGAGCTAAGTCAGGAGGCTGATATCAGCTCCAGAAACTGGGCCCCAGAGTCCTCTTGACCTCCTGGGTTTAGACAGGGAGCTGATAATGCAGCTGGGGCAGGAACCACTGTTGTCCTCTTTCAGCAGACTCCTAGGGAAAAGGAAAGCGAGAAACAAGCAACTGAATTTGCTTTGGAGAATCTTCATCACTTGAGGAATGGGCTGTGTATTTGCATGGCATGGGGGGACTTACAAATGGCATTCAGCAGCAGCAATGTGGCTTAAACGCTGACAGCTTTGCCATAGACTGAAGAAGGAAGAGCACCCAGGTTCAGAACCGTCCTACAATCATCCACCCCAGAAGAAGGTGATTTCAGTCAAGTAGACCATTTTGAGAGATACTGTGACTGTTCTCAATATCTACTTTTAGGGTTGCCTTGTAAGGATCTGCCTACCCACCCTAGTTAAGGGAGAAGTATGTAACTTGAGCTTAGAACAGTGGGGAGGGGATGTGTTCAGCCCTGGACAGTATCTCATATAGTGTGCCCATGTTATGCACATCTATGTGTGACGTCCTCTTTATCACAGTGGTTTTACTACACTTTCCAGGTAACCTTCTGTTTTACAAGTTCTTTGATGTTAAGTACTCTGGCGATGGAAGATTACAAACCTGAAAATTCTACATTCGTTTTATACGCTTTTCATTATTGAGATGGAAAACCTTAAGCAGGTACTCGATAATGGATAAGGCCATTTCTTAGCATCAACCTTGGCTCATTTGAATTGACCTTATCAGTCAATAACACGGGCCGTTTCATAAACCAATGAATAATGTATCATAGCTTAGTTTAAAGTTTCAAATATGTTTTTAGACAGAAACATTCCAAGAATGCAAGTCAGGTGTATTTCCCAGATAAATAACAGTCTGGGGGCGTTGAGTTCAGGGAAATTCTCCGTTCTCGAGGAAATTCTCCGTTCTCAGGTTTCCTAAGGTTGAAATCCAGCGCGCACATCATTAATTATTCGTTGGGGTCGGTCCCTCAGTCAATGGCAGGTCTGAGTAAGCTAAAGCGAGCAGTTAACTAATCCTTCCTGCCACGGGGATCCTGGGGCGAAAGAGGACAACTGGGCGGTCAGTCACACTTGCTGGTGGCCAGCCCCTGCCCCTCTTTCCCCGGTCCGGGCGCAGGGGTGCGTGTGCCCTCACTCTCACGAACACAGACCGAGAGCTTCCCAGAAGGAAAAACAAATTCGTCATAATGTTCAGCGCAGCCGAGAGTTTCCAACAAGAAAGCAGCTCCAGTCGTGGCCTGATGACTCAGGGTGGCATTTTAATCGCCGAATAAACCCATTCCTTAGCTCTTTAATAAATCGGTAACAACAACAACAACAACAACAGCAACAACAACAACAGCCTTCTCCCCCAGCCGCGCCACACCAAAGGCTTCCCAAGTTGGGCTGCGAATCCCTGTTTGGTTTTCCAACGCCGAAAGCCTTAGAAGCAGTGCGATCTCCTGGCGGGACGCGGTTCTCGAAGGGCTCCCGGGGAGAGGACAAGATAGCAGGGTTTACACGGCAAAGAGAGGAGAACCTGAAAATCGTGTCCTGGGGGGCAAAAGTGCGTCGCCCAGTCACAAGTGTGCTGTAGAGGTGGGAGAGGACGAGGATCCATTTCCACATTTCAACACCCCCGTTTCTGCAGCTGCCCCTGGAGGACTCAGCTGCTCACGCCGAGCTCCTTTCCACGCGGCTCTGGCCCTAATAGGGGAAGCCGGGTGACCGCGCGACCCGTGAGAAATGCTGGGGCGCGTGGCCCTGGTATGGGCGCACCCAGCGTCCGGGGCGCAGGTTCTCTCAGCCCAGCTTCTCCTCCCACTCACTTGCTCGGATCTCCTCCCTCCTTCACATCCCCCGCCCCCGGGACCGCGAGGCTCCCTCCCCGCACCGGCCAGTGAGTACACAAAGCCGCGGGTGAGGGGAAGCTTCGCAGGCGTGCACGGAGCAGTGAGATCACTGGCGTTATAAATATCCCGGTGCCAGCGCGGAGATCCGCTCGGGTGGCCTCTCTCTCCCCCTCTCCCCTTCTCTTCCCAGAGGCTATGTCCACCCAGTGCGGCGAGGCGAGCAGCGCCAGAGGCACGCAGCCGCAGAGGGGCCACAGAGCCCAGAATCAGCCCTGCAAGATGCACTTAGGACCCCCGCGGCTGGAAGAATGAGCTTGTCCTTCCTCCTCCTCCTCTTCTTCAGCCACCTGATCCTCAACGCCTGGGCTCACGGGGAGAAGCGTCTCGTCCCCAAAGGGCAACTCGGACCCGCTGCCACTGATAGGAACCCTAGAGGCTCTAGCAGCAGACAGAGCAGCAGTAGCGCTATGTCTTCCTCTTCTGCCTCCTCCTCCCCCGCAGCTTCTCTGGGCAGCCAAGGAAGTGGCTTGGAGCAGAGCAGTTTCCAGTGGAGCCCCTCGGGGCGCCGGACCGGCAGCCTCTACTGCAGAGTAGGCATCGGTTTCCATCTGCAGATCTACCCGGATGGCAAAGTCAACGGCTCCCACGAAGCCAATATGTTAAGTAAGTTACTCGCTCTCCTACAAAACCCGTCCTAGGCGGGCAACGGAAGATTTGGGAGGGACAGCAGGTATTTCCCGGGCCACAGGCGCACCTTCCTGAGCCCAGGCCACTGGGACCAACTGATACTCAGAAACAGCCGGGCGGGTTGGGTGGAGATGCATCTATATGGCGTTCGCACACGCACCCCTCTCCTGGTCATGAGGAATTGCGATTTCTGAGGTGTATGTTACCTAGAGGCTGGTGCCCAGACGGGTACCTTGTTTCCAGTTTGCCCTAGCCTCAAAGACGAGTCTCCAGCCATGACGAGAGAGAACAAAAAATCTCATTTCTTCTCGTTCAATTTGTTTACCTTCTGCTTATGAACTAGCCTGGCATTTTTCATTAGGCATCAAAGTGCAGCCCTTCTCCCTATCCATAACTGAAGTTATTTTTTAAAAAGAAGAATCAAATCCCAAATACTTGCCTCTTCCAACCGCTACCATAAACCTCAAATTAATATTGTATATGTATATGCATATATGTATATATATGTATGTATACAATGTATACACATAGGTATATAGAGACCCAAGATATAGATAGATAGATAGATAGATAGATAGATAGATAGATAGATAGATAGATGACAGACAGATAGATAACTAGGGGATACCAGACAGACATTCCTGCTTGGAAGAAGATTGTGCTCTGGAAAACTGGACACGTTTAGAGAGGGAGACGTGATGAACATTGAAATTACTAACTCCAGAGTTGGATTTAACAACGTTTAGTATCTTGAGACCATGACTACACCGTGTTAGGAGAGTGGCCAGTCTTTGGTTCCCAAGAACAGTTAGGGGAAAGTTCTTTATTTTAGAAGAAACGCAGAGGTTAAATTTGGTAGGGGTGCAAATTTTGTAGGAATTTTTATAAACAAAGTTTTAAATTTTCCCTCTGAGTTTTTTTCTTTTAGCATGCGCTCTTTTTTCCTTTCTCATCTCCTCTTCCCTTCCACCCCATCTATGTTTCCAGACCATGGCAGCCACTCCTCTGGTTTCTCTTCACTGCCTCTAGGCAGCTGGGGGCAGAGGCGATTTGGGGCTGTGTGTAGGAGTGGAGAGATCTCTGTGGGGCTTTTGTTCAGTAGGGCCAGATCGCTCTTTCAGCGCGGGTTGGTCCACCAGGCAGAGCTCCAGCCAGGGCCTGTTAGGTACCCAGGGAGAGCGGAAATGTAGCCAGGAGACAGCAGCGCGCACAGTCACCTGTCTTTCAGTGTCAGCCTGGTTGCTCCTAGATGTTCCTAACTTGCTCCATCTCAGACCAACGACTCCACGGGCCACTGGGCTCCTTCTTACTAGACAGGCTCCAGAGGAGCGTGGACGCCACCGGCGGGCTGAAAATTTGGCAGCCAGCAGTCTCCAGAGCGGGGTCGGAGGCGCGCAAGTGGGTAAGGCGGTAGGCTGACTAGCCTCCTCCCGTGGGTTAAGGGGGCCTAATGTGGAAGACCTGATGGTTCATGCTGAGAGAAAAGCAGGTCTATGCCCGCCCCCCTGCGCCTGTCTAGTCTATCTGATCTCGCTGATTCAGCAGCCTGCTGCGCACGTGGTGAGGGGGCCTGGAGCGCCCAGCTGGCTAGAGGGCCCTCCGCACACGCACCACGGAGTCCCAGGGCCCCCCTCACACTCTCCAGAGGAATCTATTTGCATATTTTAGAGTTTATTTCGCTCATCGAATAACTGCTCATTTGGGGGATAAAGGGCAAGATCTGTTGGGGTGAAGGGGAATTTTCTGAGCTTTGAGGAATAACCAGGAACATCTATTTATTTCCATTTATCTTTCTCACTTTGTCTCAACCATCTCTTGACTCCATTAACCATCACAGCTTATTCCCACTTCCGGCAACCTTTCCTTCTCTCTTACAAGAAAACTTTCTCTCTTCAGTTCTTCTTGTGATTTATCCAGGAATCAGCACCAACAGAGGGTAACTTCTGTGAGCTCAAGGGAGGACCCCTAACTACCATGCAGCAAGCAGCAGGTTGGAGCCCAGGGATCTCAGATAATGCTTCTGGGGAGGCTTTAAGTGTGCTAGAGATCTTGGAAAGCAAGGCTCATTCCCAGGATATTAACCATCTTCTCTAAGAAGACACGATATGAGACAAAGATAGTTTTACAGCTTAGGCCTTGCTAGAGGGGATGTTGTAGAAAAGCAAAGGGGGGAAAACAAGAGCAGATCAAAAAGAATGCACCCAGATAAACAAGACATTGACCACTACCCAGTATGTAAAATGTACATTTTCTTTTAAAATCCATGTTGAAAGATATCTACAAGAGAACAGGGATGTGTCCTAAAACAGTGCCAACAAAAAACTTAATTTAAACTTTTTCCTAATTTATTCCTGTTTACAATAACCTTTCAGAGTTTAGTTTCTGTGTCTTTCACATGACTTGCTTTCATTCATGCCATAAATCATGTACCCAATATAAGATACCTATCTCATTAAGCACGATATTTTGGTTACTTTTGTGTTTGTCTTCCATAGAGTTTTTTTATTTTTATTTTTTTCCTAGAAGAAAGCATAGCAAATATTCAAATCATAGTGATTTTCCGCTTTGTGATATTTGGAGTGTCTAATACTACTTCATAAAATTTTTACTACCATTGATCAATGCAGAATTTGCATGTAATTTGAGAATTTAACATGGATCTCTGCCATTATCTAGCTGTAAAAGAGAAACAGAAGCTAGCTAATTACAATCGGTCATTTACCTCTTTGAAGACAGCATTTGATGTTTCCTGACATTCATGTAAACTAAGGTGTTGGCCATGATCTTTCTTAGAGTATGTGAGGAAATGTGTTTAAATCTCCTAAGAGAGGCTGAGAGGGCTGGGTCAAGGGCCGTAGAGGATACCTCAGTTTGATCTCATCCTCTAATTCTACTGTCTGTGAGTCAGCGATGACAGAAAACATATTCTTTTTGTTACAAACCTGATACTTCAGAAAAGTCAAAGCTTTGCCATGAAACTGCATTCTAACAAGTTATTTTAAACCTGATAATATTCTGTAGTATTTGTCTGATAGAACAGATATTCATATGTGTTTCACAACTATTATTTGACAGTAAGCTTTTTTTTTTTTTTTCAAATTGCAAATATTTTCTGGTTTCACCATGAGAAGTACACCATGGCCATGGACTTTTAAATATTACTTGTTTAGTTTACATGGACCAATTAATATATTCTTAACTTCTCTTATACAATAGTTATCCCAAGTTTTGAAGACAGAAAATGAAATTAAGCTCGTTGTATATAAATCCTTATTATGAGGAAATACTGTGGAAAAATGAAGAAATATGAACAAGAAAAGATAGATGACCCAACTATTGCATGGAAAAAAGGGTTTGCATTAATTTATATGCCTTCAAGTTTAATTTCAATACAGTGCTTCTGTTGACTTACCTTGGGCCACTGAAGAATAGGCAATCAAGTAGTTTTCAGTTTAGGGAAGAAAAGTTTAAGGCTTTGGCTATACAGACTCAAAGCGTTTACATAAAATATGAAAATTCCAAGCACACATTTTGGCTAATAGAATCATCAATGTTACTACTTTTTAAAAAAATCTAAACTCACTACCAATTTTGGGATCATGTGGAGTCATTAGACAGTCCCCCAAGCCTAGATAAATCAGAATCTATATCTACTACGCAGAAAAATCAAGTGGAAAATTTCAGTTGCTAATTTAATCAGTGAAGACTGCTAAACTGAATATTTCAAGATTCAGATTTGATAACTTGGCACAGCATATCTGTTACTTTGTGGATGCAAGTAGAGAAACTTCAGTTTTAAAATATTTTTCTCTGGGGATTTTCAGATGGGTTGTTGAAAGCTTCTGAATACATTGAATATCTGTGCTTTTCTATATTTTATTCATTAACAAACGAGAGAAAAAGGAAAAATTTGTATAATTGTATCAACCACTATCAATAAAGCCCTATTATATTAAGAAATCTGCAGAGGACTAAGTCAAAAAGCTAGAAATATTTTTTATGGAAGTAAACTTACATCATAATGCATAAGTGGAATTGACTGTGTGTATAAGCTGAGAGACCCCAAGACATTCTTGCCTTCTTCAGCTTAGGTGTCAATGCTGAAATTCCACAAAGAGAGAATAATTCCTTCTGTTAAGCATTCTCCTCTTCCTTTGACCCTCTTAAATGGGAATGCCTTAAGAAAAATAACACACTGTCAGTAGCACTTTAATGTGAATTTATTTACACTGAGCCACCCCTCCGCCCCATGCCTTCTCAAGCAGGAGAAGGCCACAGTAACAGGAGAGTACTAAGACACCTGTCCATACTTGTGTATGCATAGGGTGTCCTGATGAGAGAAAAGAGAGGTAGTGAGAGGATAAAAGAAGGCAGTCAAATTTAGCAAACAGCCATTGACTATATACTATCTATGAGACAAGCTTGGCCTTCCACAATTTTGCTTAGAAATACTGCCTTGGCATCCATAAGGAGAATTGTAAGTTTCCATCAAATTTAATATATGTGACTCCCGATGATAAAGGTCAGAAAATTGCTGAAATTAAAAAAAAAAAAAAAAATCTGTGTCAGAGAAATGTTTTCTGAAACTTATATATTTGTGATTTAAGGCTCATGGGTTTAAAAAATTATGTAGAATTCCTGAATGAGTTACTGAGATTTGTCATAGTAAAATCAATAGGCCTGTGATATTTTGGGGAGGAGGGCAGGAAACTGAACTGTGAGACTCGTTGAATCTGCTCCAGAAAACAAGGCATTGTGAAATCACTGCTGACATTACTTTGGAAATTATGATCATAACAGTGTTCTTCATATTACGTCATAATTATAGTAAGACTTAGAAGATCAATACCAAAGTCACGCATATGAAAAATAATTCATTCATCTAATCTCATCTCTTATATCTCTTTCATTCTTTATGATATTAAATAGAATGATATATGTAAAGTGTATTTTTAAGCTTTCAGTTAAAGATAATT